CTTCGAAGAGCCGATTTATTCGTCGAGATTAGACCTATGTTTCGATGATAATGCCGGAAGTGAATCGTGCTGTCGAAATACACCGAAGGCGCACTGACGGGTTACCAACGAAATCAGCTTTCTCTCTGTCCCAAATGATGAAGTGTACAGTCAAGAAAAATAAATTTCGTCGTAGAAAATAACGCAGTTGCCTCTACATATTGAGCTGTAGATCACTGCTGCTGAATGATAAGTGGATTTAGCAATCCACAGCTCGGTAGCGTAATTGATAATTCTTGACCCAATATTCTAAAGAAATTACAACTACGTTTTGTCAAATTTAAATACAAAATTTTATCATCTACAAAGACAGAAAATATACAATAGACAATCAAGATTTTAATTATTCTAATTATTTTAACTTTGTGATTTCATTAATTTATTATTTATTAATGTTTAATTAATTTATTAATTAATGTGCATATATGTATTATTTGATCACGTCATTATTACATTAGGAATTATGCTATGATCATCGATGAACAACAGCTCGCACGATTGAAACGATTATGGTTGCGGGTTCCTTGACACAAACACGTGAGACGCGCCGGGGGCATAAATGTTTAATCGACAGTGATATAACGATCGTAAATTGCGATTGCCCGACAGGAGGCGAACGTTTTTTTTTTCGTTCGATGCACGCGGATGCACCATTGGCGTTGCATGCAAGTATGTGAAAAGAAAACCGCCGTTTAATGATGATATAATCACAAGTAGTCATTCTCTATGTGCCGTGTTCTTTTAATAATACGTATAATAATTACGTATTAAATAATTAAGTATTAATATATTGTACATATTAGCATGTAACATTTGAATGAAGCATGTAACATTTTTATAAACCCGAATTCAAAATTCCTATAAATATAAAAGAAAATACAAAAGAGAATATAAAAGAGAAATATCTCGTAAATTATATTCTTTATATGAGATTTATACTGATTATCCTAATTAATCCACACAATTGTTTATTTTATTTAGAATTTATTTGTTTCATGGCATAAATCTGTCTTTTGTTTTTGAATATCGAACTTTTACGTCATCTTTTTTTTTTGTGAAATAGAATCTGTATGCTAGCATGTCGATTTATTTTATTACACTGACAATAACGAACAGCTAAGAGATCATATTGATGTAATATATCATAAGTTTCAACATGGATTATTGATCTAGACGAGGACGGCCGTATGATAACGGCAATTCAAACGTATGTAAAATGTTTTATAATATTTACACGTCGATTTCCGTTCGATGTAGTTGGGATGCATAACTCGTGTCAGTTCCTCACGTGGTTGACTCATCTCTCCATTTAACACATTGAAATCGCCTCACGCGACTCCGATCAATGGAAGCGTAAATTACTTTCTATTACGACGACTGCAACGTCGCGATAAATTCTTACTTGCGCCGTGTTTTTCGTTTTACTTATAAATATATTACTTTTCAGGGCTGATCGGATATTACTCCTGTGAAATAGTCTTTAGCCAAGCGTATATCCATTAATCAGATGTAACGCGACATGTCGTTATATTTTACGATTATTTAATAGAGCTCTTAATATTCGCGTGGCGAGAAATCACGTTTCTGTCATCAATTTTCTTAAAAAAATTATCATCGATATTGATGGTCGTTAATATTTCAGTGTCGGCGTTCCATTACCAATATTGAGGTATATCGATTTATCTATTACCAGCCGTAGAAATGGAGACATCGTTAATATCATGATTATAAAACATCTTAAGAAGGATGCAATAGAAAAAGATATTTCTGAATTAAATGAGCTCGGAAAAATTAAAATTTATTACGTATACTATAAAAATAAAATTCAAGGATTCGAAAGCTCCCTATATATGCATTTATCATTTGTATTAATAAAAATATTAATATTAATAAAATATTAATAAAAATTTATATTAATTAAATTTGCCGATAATTCATAATATTGCTTGTGAAGCTTAACATTCTTATTTCTAACTTTTAAAAAAATGACTAATAGATATCTTTAAATAATAGTCATGTACAAGCTGGAGAAACTATTGAGTAAATCGCTAATCAGAGCGCTTGTATTACGAAACATTAGATTCAAGTATTGAACACCATGAGCGGCAAAACGATACGACTGGAATATAAAATCCTTATCTTCCTTAAACGCAAAGCCTTCGTTAAATTTATACTGACAGCGGGAATCACGACTTTGTCCTTTGTCGTAAATCTTGACAGACAGTCTTTCTTCTTCCTCAATACGCATAGCACAATTGCATTGCGCCTTTTCACAACGAAGTTTCGAATTAAGCGCTTGGGTGGCTAACACGATTCACCTGCGAAAAAATCTATTCACTCAAAGATATGTCAGTTAAAATTCAAATTTTTTTTAATAAAAATTAAAAATCACATTACACTTATCCTTTATCTATTCTTCCAGAATTTATTATTCTATCGGAAGTCATGGCAAAACTAAACGACTCAAAATATAATTAGAAATATATATTTGATTATAAAAATTTGTAAATAAATTATTATTAATTAAATAAATTATTATTAATCAATGCAGTTTATATATATATATGAAATAGTCGCAAATAATTCGAAGTTCATTATTCTATCAAGTATTATTCCATTCACAGATGGACCGAGGCTGCGAAAGCGGCTACGTGGATAGCCATTTGTTGAATAATAATGGTGTAAGAAGCTATAAAAAATAGCAGTTTGTAAAATTGCCACTGGCATTATCGACCTTTGACATTAGCGTGTTCAAACCCTCGCAAATACCGGCGAAATCATCAATCGGCTGAAAACATACGTGGGCAAGGACGAGCAGTAAAATGTAAAGGGCGCAAATGCTTGAGAGATACAGTCGACTCGATCATTCTTCGTTTTATTTAAATTTGATAGCTATCTCTTATATCATTCACATACAACGCCATATAATAAATTTTAATTAACATAGTGCCGTTGCCAACAAGTTGCCAAAATTGAAAACACCACGCAAATCCAATCGTTTTAATTAGCATTAAATATAAATTATTTATTTTGCATATATGTTATTTCCTCTTTCGAATCATAAAAAAAACATCATTTTATATTGCAACATGTATATGCTTACAAAATATTTTAATTTATTTTTCAATCAATTTAATAATTATTGTCACAAATAGTTTTTTTCTATATTGTATATATAAATAAAATTAAAAAGTATAATACAGTTAATGTAATCTAGTAAATATAACCCGATCTTAAAACTGTTTAAGTATCTTATTAATTATTAAAATATTTTTTTAACAAAATAAATTGCAGATTGAAATTTGTATCTCATCAGGGTCTTTTTACATTTTCAAAAATTCCACCTGAATATTCCCACTTGAAATATATTTTAAGAGATATGCTCTTCAGATATTTAAGACCACGTAAAATCGCGCGATATCGGCCGCCGTAATAAAGACGAAATGTGGGTTACGAATGTCACGACGAATGGAGAAACGATTCGAAAAATCGGCTTGAATGGAAAGCCGAGAAGAAGAGGATAAAAAAACAGCGAAAAAGCGCGATGAGAGGAGGAGGAGGAGGAGAGGGAGGGGGATTGCACACGTAGTGGAATATAAAACGTTATGTCACAGCCAGAAAGAGAGAGAAAGAGAGATACTCGTTGTAACGCAGCCCGACGATACGTGTGCACGTATACGTTTCGTAATGCGGCGTTAGGCGCTCATAATGAGACACACGTCGTAAATCGTCGACGGGGAGAGGCATACCTGCATAAATACCGGGAAAAAGTGTAAGACCGTTGACATTTAAAGCAGTTGATAATGATGCGCTGCCGCTGCCGATTACGGATTCCCTGCCCGCGGAATAAAACGACACGCGAGCTTTAGCGGTTCCCGATCGAGACACCGAACGAAACGCGTATGTCCGTATTTAGCAGTGTTTGGTGGAAAACGTGGAGAGATCTGAAAAATTGCGAAACGTACACAAGAAATAACGGAGTACATCGGTATAAGAAGACGCAACACGCGAGACGAAATCGTCGAGGAACTTTTAATTGAGTTGGCAAGCATTTTTTTCATTTTCAATGCAAGAAAAATGCGTTATATCCATATCTTGTCTACCAGTTGCCTGAATTTATGGAAGATACGTTCTATAAATTGCGCTTCTTACTATCCATATTCTGAACCAGCGTATTCTGAAACCAACATTGATCGAGAAATATTTTCTTGCTTGTTACTTTAATTGGCATCCCCCTCTAACATTTGCGCATCCCCGTGCGTATATCTCCAGCCTCTCTGGAAAAAAAGCTGAGACAAAACAAGTTTTGTTTTTTATTAATTACACAGAATATAATTTTCACAGAATATGTGACGTTAATAAATGTGACGGGATTAAAATACGGGATGCGAGGGGAAAAAATCATTTGATATAACGTTATACGTACTTGGCAAGATTATTTAAGTACCGTGGGACATTGATAGTTGACGAGGAACATTTTTCTACAATAATCTTTCGACCTTTCAAGTGGATAAGATTGATTTTTTGCGGTCAAGTGGAGGCGGCCGATTTTAGCCAGACACGTTCTTAATCGCGGGAAGGATAGATCTACGGATTACCCCATCGCAACAGCTGTTTGACCTCTGAACTATTAACCACCGGTTAAATCAAGAGTCTGTTAACAGGAAAGAAAGGCGCGATTGCGAGGCTTGATATAATCGTCGATTTACCATTCTTTCTGCAAAGTCTCTCTCTAGTGACACCTTCATGAATAATGCGGATGATAATAGGGAAGCTAATACTCCTCACATTTATAGACACGATACAATATAAATACAACGCTACTTCAGTTTCTTATCCAACTCTTAAATCTCACGCCTTCCGTAGAGTAGTATAATATGCCTCAGCTACATACTTTTTTCGAGAGAAAAATAATTATAGAGAAATAAGAGACTGAAATATTTTTATGAAATATTTTACAGGGCCGAAGCAGTTTAATTTCCGAGGACACAACTATTTCTACAGTGGACACGTACCAGCCCACGCTAATCAGAAAGTGGACTGGTTAGACGCGAGAAACATTTGTAGGGAGTACTGCATGGATCTCATTTCTATGGAAACCCAAGAAGAGAATAATATGATCTTTAGGCTCATCCAACAAAGTAAGTAACCTCGCTCGAACTCTCATGAAACGTGCCGACGTGCACATGCGCACGTCGCTCCTCCATGAATTATTCTCTCTAGTCTACATTGCGAATACGAGATCAATGCATAATCGAAGGTCAACGAAACAGCTCCCTTTTCGCTTAACGAACAAAGAAGAAACGTTATATATAGCTATAACGTTATTTATAGCTCGAGTAATTTTCACGAGCATGAATTTTTATGAAACTTTTAGAAAAAAAAATATTTTTGTTTCACCAATTTTTTGGGAGTGTACGTATTACCGTATTAAATCGATTAAACGTTCTGAAAATAAGATCTGCGTGAACAGATCTTGATATCCTTCTCTCTAATCTCTGGAAACTACGTAATGATTATAATTTAACCTACCAATACCACCCTAGGAGAGTATCATTTTCCGGTCACACCCTCAATCGATAGCGAACACGAAGCATCGCTTATCAGATCCAGTTTCTCTTATTTCATTTGTAATTTACTAGCACGCAAGCAGAAAATACAAATCTTCTGGTTCATTCATTTAAAATCGTAAGGGTGAATCCCTTCGCCGTGACAAATGTGTGACTTTAGAAAGTTTCTACACAACGTGCGACCGTAATGGTGACGATGGTAGTGGGTCGTAAATATCGACAACGGCGATTTACCAACTTTCATCCATGCGAGATAATCATTCGGCAGTATTTCGAAACAAGCGGCCCGACGTGGAACATCACTGTGTCTTCGATTCGGATGATTAACGACGACGCTCTTCCCTCTTGTCCTCTCCTTCTCCTCATTACGACCTTTCGACTGCAGCGCGATGCACATTTGAGAATCGAAAGTGCAATTAATCGGAAGGTCTTATTCAGAACTTAATCGCTATTACTTTTATTAGCACAGTGTTTCTTTCCTTTGGCTTTAGAATGACTTGTGGTATCTTGAATAATAATGCAAATCGCGACATATGTAGCTAGCCATTAAAATATTTTATCTGTCTAAATTTTAAAAATCGATTGGAAAAATAATTAAAATTTTATTTAATAACGTAAATTTTATTTTATTTAATAACGTAAACAACTTGATTCGCCAGTTTTAGTGATTAAAACAGAAATAATTAATCGAAGAATAAATTAATTAACGCTCCAGGAAAATTAAACCGCAATGTCAATCATGATTGCATGGGTCAGAAATTGAATAATCAGTAACCACGAATTAATACAATTGCCGGAACATTTGTTGGATTTCATTGTCGCTTTAACCGCAATTATGATAATCGTGATGATACCTGCTCGTCACGATATTCATCACGACGAGGAATCGTGGGAGGCAAGTCGGTGAGGTGAGGTGTAACGACAGTTTTCAAGGTAATGCGGGGGTCTTGAAGTGGGTTGAGGCTAGAGAATCTCATCTTTTTATATAACAGCATCGCGTGGTGCATGAATCTTTTTGCAGTCCAGCGAAAGTAAGATGGCACCAAGTTGATTTCGCTCAAGAACGCTACGTGACCCGCCTTCTCGTTTAATCGCACGCCTGAAAGACCTTTCGTATTCGCACTTCGCGTATTGAATTACAGTTTAGGAGAATTTCTCTATAATCATTGCGCTTCAATTTAATGAGAAATTATAAGTCAGCTTCTTTCTTTCCTAATCTAAAGCTGCTTCTTTTCTTTCTTGATGACATTCGTCAGATCTGGTTCCTAAATAATCGTCACGGAGGTTGTTCAAGATAGCTTAATAACATAGCTAATTTCTTAAATCTTTAGAGCTAACTTTATATGTAGATTTTTCGAATTATACTTTGAAAAATGTAAAGTAAAATATTTAATATTTATCAACCGCTAGAAAAAGGAAAACAGAACGTTAGCAGTTATTTTTGAGATGAATAAACTATTTCATGCATTTTACTCTTCCTCAGATGATGTGCCGTACATCTGGACGTCTGGCCGACTTTGCGACTTCAAGGGTTGCGAGAACCGACGTGACCTCGAGCCCAAGTCCCTGTACGGTTGGTTCTGGTCTGCGAATCGCGAGAAAATGGCGCCTACCAATCAAGTACCAAACGGTTGGGGCTTCAATCCGTGGTCGCAGACTGGCCACAAGAAGGTCAGGCAGCCGGACAATGCCGAGTATGATATCAACGGCACCAATGAATCCTGCATGTCCGTCCTGAACAACGTTTACAATGACGGCATCGCTTGGCACGACGTCGCGTGTTACCACGAGAAACCTTTCGTCTGTGAAGACTCCGAGGAGTTGCTTAACTACGTGGCCAGCACCAACCGTGGTATTCGCCTCTAAAAGGGATCGCGGTCGCGGTAGCCGACACCTACGTGGTGATCATGCGATCGTCCATCAGCGTCACATCAGCACTCACTTTCCTTCTATACTTTCCGTCGCGGAGCCGATGAGACACGTGCCAAATGGAGACGCGAGACTTCCACGTGGCGATTCTCGACTCTCAAATGATCACAGAAAAACCTCAATTGTGTCAGAGATATAACAAAAAAAACTTTTTTGTATGTGTAATTTTGTATGTGTAATTATAATAAAATTATAATTTGTAATATAAACAATTTTTTTTATAATTACATTTTATAATAAAGTATATCGTGTACGATATGTTCGATAGAAAATTTTCTGAAATAAGAGCTTGCTAAAATTTTAATTTTGCTTTTTTTTAATTTTTTTTATTAATTTTCGTACTATTGATTTTTTGTATAAATTCCTATGATGTCAAGTTTTTCAATTTTCTATCGTTGTATAAAGCGACTTTCTCATCACAGGCAACTTATTATTTAATGTGATCATCGGAGAATCGAAGATTATTTACAACAATTTAAAATATGGAATGAAAAAAACAATTTGTGAGATATCAAACGCTTATATACGATGGCAATAATTCGTTTAATTTACATTTTATTTTAATAATTAAATATAGTAGAGTTTAGAAATATAATGATAAAAGTATTCTGAACAAAAGCGAAAGTGTAGAATCAATAAATTGTGCGAATAATTTACGTCAAATTTTTATCGTACAGTGACTAATTTATTATATTATTCAGTGCTGTGAGATCAATATAACGTGTTACATTGTATAAACATAAATTTACCTGTTTATTATGTGTACGAAATTTTATAGTAGGAAGAAAATTGCTAAATTATTGATTGCACAAAAACGTGTCTCGTCGCTGCGCTCTTTTTGCACTCATCATATCGAAGAAACTCAACAGTAATTTTATATTTCGTTTAATTTGTAATCACAGTATCTGCTGAAGAGAGTAATTATTTGTGTATATGTATTTATTGATATAAATTTGGCTGGCAGTCTCTGTACATTTTATGAATAAACGTTGATCTTACCTAAATTATCTATCATTTAAGCAATATTGAATCCTGTAATCCTTTTATATTCAATCTACATTTATATTCCCTAAAATGTTATAATAACAAATGATTTTATAAATTTAGACGATACATTTAAAACAATTTTTATTCTATAAAAAAATTTTTAATTTATTTTATTTTATTTATTTTATAAAATTTTATTTTAAAGTACAGAAGTAATATAGAAAAAATATCGAAAAATTTTTTTCAAAAATTTGATATATCTCGTTCCAAGGAATTATACTTCAAGTTCCAGAATTTTTTGAATAATCTTAAATTTTACGTGTTATATATCAATTTTTCACATAGATAGTAGATTTGAATGATTAAAAATACATATTTTCTATTTCATTTGTTAAAAGACTAGGGTGACCTGTCTTATTTCACCCTCTTAGATATTTTAAAAGCTCGAATACCTTGAAGTTACCAATCCCATACTCGCAGATGTGTGAGTCTCTAAGGAGTGCATCACCACAGCACAGTTTCACTTTACTTGGCGCTGGAAATATATACCTGCCTTGTCGGTAAGAAATCTTTGTATGATCAGATCACGCAGTTTTAAACAAGAATTTATATCATGTATATGTTAAATACATATATCAAGGAAAACATAATATAATACAATATTAATAAAATCATAAAATTAAAATTATATTATAAAACAATAAAAAATTATTTAAAAAACTAATATAATATTATAATTGTCAAAATATTGAGCAGATAAACAAACTTCTATAAAACTGTTACAATCTGTAATGTCTTGTCACTGTTAAAAGTAATATATGACCAAATTTCCTCACATATGAATAAAAAAATAAAAAACTGCTGGTTTTTAGAACTAAATTATAATTTGCTTCATCTTATTCCTGATTACATTCTAATACTCTATTTAGAAATTAAAAATGTTGCTGTTTTCAAAATCTTAAATATAAAGTTTCGGGAATTTATAAAAGTTTCTTGGAATTTTTAAAAGATATTTGTAATTTTAAACAACAATATTTCTTTGCTGATTATATTTTCTGAAACTTTATTAGTTTTCAAAAGTCAAAACATAATATCTTGAGTGAAATAAAAAAATTAATATAAGTCAGTTGCCGATGATAAATAAACTCTGTTCGCTTATGGTAACAATTTACGAGTTTTCTATCTTACTCAATATACCTGAAACAACAGAATCGACTGGCGATAACGTAGTGTACAAAACACCTTTCACTTATTTCCTTTCAAATGACACACAAGAAATAAGAGATGTAATATTAACAACATAATCATTAATATCAATAAAATTGTAACAATTGTTACAATAGTTTTGTTTAATTATAATGATATATAATGATATATATTCACCAAATTTCATCTAATTTGGGAAAAAAATTCCTTTTCATAAAACATGTAGTAATCAATATATAAATAAATAAAACAGATAAGTCAGTTAATAAATTTCTTTACTTTTATATACTCTTTATTTTTATAGACAAAGATTAAATATTTTTTATATTTTAAAGAAATTTAGAAATAAAAAGTGAATGGAGAAAGGGAGAAAGATATTGGAAGTGGTATAAAGTCGCCTAATATTTAAAGATCTTTATTTCAACAGTAACAAATCGATACACCTCCTTTTACAATTGTTACTGTTGAGATGCAGACGTTTAAAAAGAGGTTGACGAATTTTTATCTCCTTTTTTTGTCGCTAAGAGTACGCATTATTTTCGCAATCTATATTCTAGATTCATGAAATTTTCTGTAGTTCTGTTCTTTGATTCACAGGTATAAAAAAATAATATCAATTGAATCTTTTAAATACCATTGTATTTCTCTTCTGCCGCGGCGAATGTGTGTACAGAAAATTACTATGCGAATT